TGGTTTTAGTTGTAGGCTCAGGGGTTGTGGTGGTTGTAGTTGTAGGCTCAAGGGTTGTGGTGGTTGTGTTGTAGTAGTTGTGGTGGTTGTAGTTTGTAGCTCTGGGTTGTGATAGTTGTAAGCTCAGTGGTTGTAGATGTAGGCTCAGGAGTTGCAGTTGTAGGCTCTGTGGTTGTAGTAGTAGGTTCAGTGGTTGTGGTGGTTGTAGTTGTAGGGTCTGTGGTTGTAGTAGTAGGTTCAGTGGTTGTGGTGGTTGTAGTTGTAGTCTCAGTGGTTGTGGTGGTTTTAGTTGTAGGCTCAGGGTTTGTGGTGGTTGTAGTTGTAGGCTCAAGGGTTGTGGTGGTTGTAGTTGTAGGCTCAGGGGTTGTGGTAGTTGTAGTTGTAGGCTCAAGGGTTGTGGTGGTTGTGGTTGTAGGCTCAGGGGTTGTGGTAGTTGTAGTTGTAGGCTCAGGGGTTGTGGTTGTAGTTGTAAGCTCAAGGGTTGTGGTGGTTGTGTTTGTAAGCTCAGGGGTTATGGTGGTTGTAATTGTAGGGGTTGAAGTTGTAGGATCAGAGGCTGTAGTAGTAGGTTCAGTAGTTTTGGTGGTTGTAGGCTCTGGAGTTTGGGTGGTTGTAGTTGTAGGCTCTGGGGTTGTGGTAGATGCAGGCTCAATTGTTGTAGTTGTAGGGTCAGTGGTTGTGGTGGTTGTAGTTGTAGGCTCAGGGGTTGTGGTGGCTGTAGGCCCAATGGCTGTAGTTGTAGGTTCTGGGGTTGTGGTAGATGTAGGCTCTGGGGCTGTGGTAGATGTAGGCTCTGGGGTTGTGGTAGATGTAGGCTGTGGGGCTGTAGTAGATGTAGGCTCTGGGCTTGTGGTAGATGTAGGCTCAGTGGTTGTAGTTGTAGGCTTAGAGGTTGTAGTAGTAGGTTCAGTGGTTATGGTGGTTGTAGGATCTGTGGTTGTTGTTGTAGGCTCAGGGGTTGTGGTGGTTGTAGTTGTAGGCTCTGGGGTTGTGGTAGATATAGGCTCAGGGGATGTAGTTGTAGGCTCAGGGGTTGTAGTTGTTGGCTCTCAGGGTTGTGTGGTTTCAGGGGTTTGTGGTGGTTAGGCTTGTGGTGAGGCTGTCGGTAGTAGGCTCAGGTTGTGGTATAGTTGTAGGTCAGGGTTGTGGTTGTATTTGTAGACTCAGTGGTTGTAGTTGTAGATGTCAGGGTTGCGGTGGTTGAAGTAGTAGGTCTCAGGGGTTTGTGGGTGGTTGTAGTTGTAGGTCAGGGGTTGTTTTCAGTAGTAGGTTCAGTGGTTGTAGTTGTAGGCTCAGGTGTTGTATAGGTTCAGTGGTTTAGTTGTTCAGGCGGTTCAGGTAGGTGTGGTGGTTGTAGGCCGGGTTGGTGGTTGTAGTTGTAGGTTCTGGGGTTGTGTGTGATTCAGTGGTTGTAGTTGTAGGCTCAGGGGTTGTGGTGGTTGTAGGGGTGTAGTGGTTGTAGTAGTAGGCTCTAGGGTTGTGATTGCTCAGTGGTTGTGGTCGTACGATCAGTAGTTAGTAGTAGCGGGGGTGTGGTGGTTGTAGGTTCAGTGGTTGTAGTTGGAGGCTGTGGGGCTGTGGTGGTTGTAAGTTCAGTGGTTGTAGATGTAGGCTCAGGGGTTGTGGTAGTTGTAGGCTCAAGGTTTGTGGTGGTTGTATGCTCAGTGGTTATGGTGGTTGTAGTTGTAGGCTCAGGGGTTGTGGTTGTAGGCTCATGGGTTGTGGTGGTTGTTAGCTCAGGGGTTGTGGTTGTAGGCTCAGGGGTTGTGGTGGTTGTAGGTTCAGGGGTTGTGGTGGTTGTAGGCTCAGGGGTTGTGGTGGTTGTAGGCTCTGGGGTTGTGGATGTAGATTCAGTGGTTGTAGTTGTAGGCTCAGGGGTTGTGGTGGTTGTAGGCTCAGGGGTTGTAGTGGTTGTAGTAGTAGGCTCTAGGGTTGTGATTGTAAGCTCAGTGGTTGTGGTCGTACGATCAGTAGTTCTAGTAGTAGGCTCTGGGGGTGTGGTGGTTGTAGATTCAGTGGTTGTAGTTGGAGGTTGTGGGGCTGTGGTGGTTGTAAGTTCAGTGGTTGTAGATGTAGGCTCAGGGGTTGTGGTAGTTGTAGGCTCAAGGTTTGTGGTGGTTGTATGCTCAGTGGTTATGGTGGTTGTAGTTGTAGGCTCAGGGGTTGTGGTTGTAGGCTCATGGGTTGTGGTGGTTGTTAGCTCAGGGGTTGTGGTTGTAGGCTCAGGGGTTGTGGTGGTTGTAGGTTCAGGGGTTGTGGTGGTTGTAGGCTCAGGGTGTGGTTGGTTGTAGGCTCAGAGGTTGTGGTGGCTGTAGGCTCAGGGGTTGTGGTGGTTGTAGGCTCAGAGGCTGTGGTGGTTGTAGTAGTAGGCTCTGGGATTGTGGTTGCAAGCTCAGTGGTTGTAGTTGTAGGATCAGTGGTTATAGTAGTAGGCTCAGGGGTTGTGGTGGTTGTAGGTTCAGTGGTTGAGGCGGTGGTTTTAGTTGTAGGTTCAGTGGTTGTAGTTGTAGGCTCTGGGGCTGTGGTGGTTGTAAGTTCAGTAGTTGTAGATGTAGGCTCAGGGGTTGTAGTTGTAGTTGTAGGTTCAAGGGTTGTGGTAGTTGTAGTTGTAGGTTCAGTGGTGGTTGTAGTTGTAGGCTCAGGGGTTGTGATTGTAGGCTCAGGGGTTGTGGTGGTTGTTAGCTCAGGGGTTGTGGTGGTTGTGGTTGTAGGCTCAGTTGTGGTGGTTGTAGGCTCAGTGGTTGTAGTGGTTGTAGTAGTAGGCTCTGGGGTTGTGATTGTAAGCTCAGTGGTTGTAGTTGTAGGCTCAGGGGTTGTGGTGGTTGTAGGCTCAGGGGTTGTGGTGGTTGTAGGCTCAGGGGTTGTGGTCGTAGTGGATCCGGGGGCGGTAGGCGGCAGCGTGGAGTCGTCAGTCAGGATTTCCACGTACTCGAAGCCAACGGCTGCTCCAGCCTGTTTTCCAGTTCCACAGAATTCAATTTTCAGCTGTTGTTGCTAAAAGTAAATTTATAATTAGGCAACACATCAGGACAAATATATGTATGTATGTATGTATGTATGTATATATATATATATATATATATATATATATATATATATATATATATATAATATATATATAATAATATATAATAATATAATAATAATATAATAATAATAATAATAATAATAATAATTTTAATAATAATAATAATAAAACGGACATCATGATAATGCTAACAAATGCATTATTGAAAATGATTTGTAGTAATAGTAGTGGTGTTAGTGTTATTGATTATTATCCTCATTATTATTAGTTGTGGTTATAGTAGTAACAGTGATTGTAATAATAATGCTAAAAAATAGTAATAACAGTTGAAATAGTAGTAGTAGTGGTAATGACAGTAGCATTAATAATTACAATAATTATAACAGTAACGATAATGATAACTATCATAGTAATAGTAGTCAAAGTAGAAGCAATAGAAGTAATGGTGATGATAATACTACTGATACGATAGTAATAATAAATAACAAATAACAATAACGATAAAATAATAACAATAACAAAAATAACACCATAACTATGGTTGCGGCATTACCATAAAATAATTTAGAAACTGATCACAAACAATATTTGAAATTCATAATTTACGACGAGCTACAGAATTAAACACATTCATTCTTTGCATTATCTCTGTTAATTAGTTTATATTCCCATGCAGTACTTCAAAACAGTTTCGATGATATAGTAATTAATGATGCCTTTTCAAAGCATTACATTCCATACTGATCCTAGACATTTCATCCTTGCTTGCAAAAATAGCCCAGCGAAATGCCGGTCTCCATAACTGAAGTTGTAAAAATTATATGAGCTTGTCAAGAATAAGAAAGGCCTACTGGAAAACGGTTTTGGTCTAGACATAATTCACAAGAGGACTTCCTTGTGATATCCCGAAAGCCCTGACACATTGTATCACTGTCGCTACAAAACACAATATCATCGAACCGTACTGACATACAAAGTTTTGAAGAAAAAAAATCTTATTTTTCTTATTTTCACACAAAAAGGTCAACAGAAAATCATGAAAATACTCAATACGATGGTACAATATTTAATTAAAAGTAAAACACTGTGGAAGCTTCAGATAAAATGGGAAAAGACCTGACAACTCTGCATATTCTTTATACATACCACTCTTCGCTTCACAAGGCTGTGGTAACTTTTGAATTTATTTCCAGATTCAGTCATAAAATTTTTATTGTTATTACATATATTACTCTTCGCATGAAGAGTGGAAGTTACATAAAGGTTTGAATCCTATTATCGTAGCCACCGTGAGTGATATACGTGTCCGAATCAGACAATTGGATAATTCAAATGATCACAGACATTTGCTTGCCTTATTGATCGAATTATGTAAACAATTTAAGGTACACACCCTTTTCTTTGAATTCTTTAAGCCTGTATTATAGAGGTACAGAATGATTTTGAAAACATTCGTCCAACCGAAGTGAACTGTATGTCAAATGACTCAGACATGGAAATTCTTACCATGTTCCAGATTGAAGTCAATCCTGATTGACCAAATTTCACATTTATATTAATAAATATGTATTTAATTTAGTGCTAAAAAGGCACAAAAATAAAATCCCATGTGACTATGTGAAATGAAAAAAAAAATGTCGCGCTTTGATTGGCTGGTGGGTATCAAAATATCAGGCCCACACTTTGATAGAAGCTGAGAAATGTTTCAACAGGCTCCAGTTATGCGGCGTATAAGACAAACATGTATGAAATTGTTGGGGGCTTCGGAATGGCTATAATAAAGGCTTATAATAATGGTGATAATGGTAATAATGAGGATGATAACAATGATAATATTAATCATTATAATAAGGATAATAAAGATAAAACAGCAACCAAACAATAATAACAGTAATGATAATAATGATAATAATAATAAGAACTAATAATGATAATGATAATAATAATTATTAAGATGGCAATATTGATAATAATTAAAACAGCTGCCAGCCAATAATAACAATAATAATAATTATTATAATAAGAATAAGAATAAGAACAACAACAATATCAACAATGAAAATAATGGTAATGGTAATGATAATAATAATAATAATAATAATTAAAATGACAATATTGATAATAATAGCGGAAAGAATAATATGATATCGATGACGATAATAAGGACCACCAAATGAAAAAGCTATAGCAAATTTTTTTTCAGAACTTGCTCCAAGGTACCAGAATGGAAGGTCCTTTCTTGTTTTTTTTTTCGCTTTGTCTCATCCATTAATCTTTTTAATTTTTCACATTATCTCTCTTTTCTTTCTCTCCCATATATATCACTTATTCATCCATTCGGTGACTTTCTCGTTCTCTCTCTTCCTGAGCCTTAAGCATCCGTAACTTCCCTGTCTTCTGGTGGATCATCAGAATTTTGTTTCAAACGGATAGGATTCCACTCTCACTTACTGTTGTACCTCAGCACATGTTACATATCTCCCGTCGACTGTAAAGCAAACTCCGTTCAAAAGCATAGCTATTAAAACTTCATTTGATTCTACCTCAGAAAGAACAACAGCTGCAGACAATTATTAAGGTTTTCCACATTTTCTGGTATTCCCATTTGGTCCAAAGGCTGGGAGCTCTTCAACGGCGATTTTCGCCAAAGATAATTATCAGACAATTAATTTGTTGGCAATTATCGACATTAAACAAAATAATCGGGCAGGCTGGTCACTCACAAAACTTGTTTGGTTGGCAAAAAGTGGTACTATGACTGGTACTATTAATTATTTTTTCTGTATTATAAGACAAAAGGGTTTATATATAAATACAGTCAAATATGTAACAAATATATAGAATAGGCATGAAAAAATATAACAAATACATTGACACAATCTCAGTTCAGCTGTACAATGCAGATTTATGGCATCAACTTTTTTTTTTCTTTAGAAATTAAGATTGCCATTCTCGTAGCAGTACTGCATGTATGTTTATTCCCATTATCTATATGCAATATTGCCATTATTTCCATTATCTATATGCAATATTGCCATTATTTCCATTATCTATATGCAATATTACCATTAATCATTTGGTAGATTACTATGCATCACCCTTGTTTGCTGTAATTCTATTCAAAAATTCTTCTTTAGCGCAAAGAAGTGAAAATGGAGAGTAATTTAAATGATATCAATAATGATTGAAACATATAACATTAATGATTAGAAGAGAACAAGAGTATAATATATATTGAGGAATTACTTTCAGGTTGACCCGATACGTTGGCAGGAGGATTACTTCCTTTTCTACCCGACAGGCTATGAGGGGAATAGCGACCGCCATGTTGTGGTTGGAGAGCAAGGGAATCCTTCCCTGACGTGCATACGGTCTATCGGCAAAGACCTTGAGAACCATGTAGATATTGGGTCCTATGACCTGCCATTAACTTGGACCTGCTGACCTGTAGGTGGCAGAGGTGACACGCTGTCTGACTACCCAATGTTTGATCTCCATACTCCATGCTAGGTGGCGGCATGGGACATGTACTCGTCATGGCAGGATGATCTGTTGCCATCAACAGCAGGTGATCTCCCTCAAATGAGGAGAGCTAGCAGCGTCAGAATTAATGAGGATGGTCGCAATCACGATCCCCACATCGATGGGTCGTCACAGCTATCTCCAGCATTCAGTCTTTAGGAGACCGTTTATAGTGGTGTTGAAATTGTCACATTCACCCTCTGTCACCAAGGGGATTCATCTCGGCCTGCTGCTAGATGAAAGCCTAGTCAATCTTAATTGCTAGCCCAAACCATGACTCTCTAGGTTGTAATGCAGATCCCCTTTGCTGATTCAAAGGTGCTGACCTTGATTAGACATATGGTCCTGCAACTGTGCCCCATAATCGAATGTAAGGACTTTTTTCAAAAGCCTCAAGCAAAATCCATATTAGGACCTATTATTTTCAGCAACCATTTTGTGATATGATCTGCCATTCGAAACTACCTGTCAGCGATTTACCAACTTGCTGGTCACAGGGGAGAACCAAACCATTGCATTTGCGCTTGATTTCTGCAACAAACACGGTCTATGGTTGACCGTGCGGCCCTCTTCATACGTTATTTGTCATCTGCTATAAAAATGGAGGCTCAATGATTACTAAAACGGCGTATGTGGGCTCGTCCGTGGGTACAGAGAAGAAATAGAAGTATATACCATAATCTGCAGCAAGAACTTCGCTTGGAGGCAGGATATAGGCAAGCTCCTATGAGGAACTTAGAAGACCCGCGCATATTAACAATGATGACGTTACGGCCACTCTCCAATGAATTTCTGTGTAAAGATGGTAAGCACGCTTATGAGATATGTTACAAACTACAACTATTTAAAACACATATTAATTGAAATTTATATGATTATCATAATTTGTGCAATTAAGTATTCTAAGCAGACTAGACTCTCTTGCCATGTCCGATTCGCCGATTCCAAACGATACATATAGTCCGCTTCTACATCAGTAATGATAATATTAACAAAAACAATAATAGTAATAATGATGATGACGATTATAATAATAATGATAAAAATGATAATAAGCATAATGATAATACCACTAAGAGTAAGTACAACAATAATAATAATGAAATGAAAAAGGATAATAATTATATTAATAATGATAACGATAATATCAATATTTATGATAGTGATAATAACGATAGCACCCATAATGATAATCATAATAAAAACAACAGCCACAATCAGAATGATAATAATAGTAGTAGTAAAAATGATTATGATAAAAATAAGAAATAATAATGATAATGAAAGTAATAATAAAAATCATAATAATATAAATAAAGGTGATCATGATGATAGTAGTTATAACATTAATGATAATAATGATAACTATTGATAATAATGATAATAGTAATGATAGTATTTATGATAATAATTGCAATAATATTAATTACAATGATGATAATGATCATAATAATGATAATATTGATAATAATAATAATAGTAATTATAATGATAATGATAAGGATTATGATAAAAATATTAAAGATAATAATAATAATCAAAATTATATTGACAATAACAATGATACTAATGGCAACAATATTATCAATGAATAAAAAGCTAGGATACTAGAGAAAAAATAATATTAACTAAAATAAAGAGGTAATAATGGCATTAATAATCATACTATTGCTAGTAATAATTGTAGTAGTAAAATAATGATAATGATAATAATGATCACAAAATAATGATACTTATTTTAACAATTATAACAACAATAATAATCATAATGATATCGATAATGATAATAACAACAATAATGATGGTAATAGTGATAATAATTATAGCAATAATAAGAATATTAATAATGATGGTAATAATAATGATAATAATGACAAAAATAAAGGATAATGAATATAACAATGAAAATACTGATAATATTATTAATGATGATGATGATAATAATGATACTACTACTACTACTACTACCACTACTACTACTAATAATAATAATATCAGCTATAATAATGATAATAAACATGATAATAATAATAATGGTAAGAATAATAGGGATAATAATAACAAATAATAAAAATGATAATGATAATAAGGATAATAATAACAATAATACTACTAATAATAATGATAATAATGATGATAATAATAATAGTAATAATAGTGCATAATGATAAGAATAATGATAATAATGGTAATGATCACGATACTCTCTCAAACCACATAAATAACAATGATAATGATAATAATGATATTCCTCTGAATAAACTAAATAATAGTAACATTATGATAAAACAATAGTAGCAAGAACATCAATAACAATAATAATAAAGATAATAAGGACAATAACGATGATGATGATTATAATAAACATGATAACGATACTGTTAAAAACAATAAAGATCATAATGATGATAATGAGAATAGATGATGATATTAACAGTATTAGTAGAATAATGAAAAAAGTAGAAATAATAATGATGAGAATGATAATGATCATAATGGCAATAATGATAACAACAACAATAGTGATAATAATGATAATGATAACAATAACAACAACATTGAAAATTACATTGATGATGATACTACTAATTATAGGAATCACAAAAAGGATAGTGATAATAACAACAATGATAATAATAATGCTAATAATAGTAATAATAATGATAAGGATAATAATGAAAAAATAATAATAATGATGATAATGATAATGATAATAACAACGTTGATAATGATGAAAGTGATAATAATAACAATAATGATGATGGTATTAACCATGATAATAGTAATAACGATAATACTACTAATGTAAGTAAAATAGTACTACTAAAGGCCCTATCACACGCACTTTTCCCGTCATTTTCTGGGGTTCCGTCTGAATTCGAGGTTTTCCGCAAGGGTCGCCTACAAACGGAACGCCTCCCAGACCAAGACGGTCAGGACCGTTTCCGTCTGACTAATTTCCGTGTTCATCGTGCTATAAATTAGAGAGGATGAGTGAATGTAAACATAAACTAATATTTTAGAATATTCATATATACAATATACATCATCATATTTCTTTAAACTAACGTAATATGTATGAGAATGTTCGTGTGATTCCCAGGACCTCACTCCGATAGCGTCATGTTTGTTTACATGATTTTGTATACGGAGTTCATTCGGAAACGCAAAAAAAAAAAAAAAAAAAAAAAAATGACGGAAAAAGTGCTAGTGTGATAGGGCCTTAATAAAGGTAATAATAGTAATGATTATAATTATGATGATAACTACACTAATAACGATAATTATAATGATAATAATAATAACAACAACAATAATAACAAAATAAACACAATAATGATAATAACAACAACAATAACTACAAAAATAATGATACTGGTAATGATGGTGAATATTATTATTACTATTATTATTATTTGTTTTTAATATTATCATTATTATTAGTAGTACCATTATTATTATCGTTATTATTATAATTAATGATAATGATATTGATGATAATAATAATGACAGTAATAATGATAAACAAAATCATATTTGATATCAATGATAATGATAATAACAAAAACAATCAATAATGGCATTGATAGTAATTGTAACCTTAACCCACTTTACCAGCATCTGCTCCCTCCCACTTCCATCCTTTTCCTCGTTAAACTCCCCGAACTCTCGCTTCCTTACTCCTTTTCCTCCCTCTTCCATCCTCTTCCTCTCTGATCCCCTTCTACCTCCTCTCCCTTTCCTTCGCCCCATCCCCTCTCCTCTCTATAAACGCTCCGTTTCTCTTCTGTCCTCCTCCTGTCTTTCCTTGGTCTTTAATCCCCCTCCACTCCTTTATCCCAACATTTTCTTTTGTCCTTTCTCTCCTATTTTCCTGTTTTCCCTCCTACCTCGGATAGTCGTGTAAGTGAGAAAAAATAATGAAAATCCAAACAAACGTTGTTGCTATCGTAATGACAACATCAATAATGTGTATGACATAATGGGAATAATAACAACTATAATGGCAATGTCAGCTGTAATAATGAAAACGATAATTCTGTAATATGGCCATGGCTCATACACTGATGAAATGAATTCATACAGTATGCACACGTGCATACTGAAACGTACACACATTTTCCTAAGCGTACAGCAGGCCTACTTACACTAGAGGTTGGGGAACAGTTGCTGACCCACGCAGTCTCGTTCCATTTTCCATTTCTCTCTGGGTGGGCAACATTATCACACAGTATTTCCTGTGAGTAGTAATTGCACCCCGTGATGATCTTGAGCTCCGAGACTGAGACGTCACACCAGAATGACAGGCGAAGAGTAAGACTGCTCTCAAGCTCAACGAAGATGGGTTTCATGCACGAGTAACTAATACTGTCAAACAAAAAAGTCCCGCCGCTGTCTTCTCCTCCTGGAGGAACGCTCACTTTGTATTCTGGATCGATGTCCTTGTAGGCCATCACTTCGAAGCCCCCGTTGCTGAGTTCGGCGAAGTTGGTCAGGTCGTATCTTAAATAAGTGAATAACCCGCCGCTCGATGCAAACAAGTTAGCGACAGCCATTACTTTAAGCAATGTCTTCATCTTCATCTCGTTAATCAGAAGGTACAGAAATACAGTAATATTTAACAGCTCTAGTACGGCACAGCTTTCCGTTTATCTCCGCGCTCAAATAACGCCACGAGAGAATATCAAGGGACGCGAATCGCCAGCCGGCAGCACTGTTATGATCAGTCACTGTTATGACTTATGGCCATTATAATCAAAGATTTTGTGGGAGGGCGCCCAAGGAGCGTAATCGGGTGTTATCCTAGACTACATCAGCACTGAGTCTTATCAGCGATAAGGTTTTTGATCGGAACTCGTCTCCTCATTCATCATAGCATTTCTTGACTGACAGGTTTTAAAAGGAAAGATCTTGGTACTGAATGCATAACAGCTTCTTTCCTTTTCTGAGTAATTATCTATATTCCTTGAACACTTTGATCTAGATATTGGTAGATCT